GCCCACTAAGGCATCATTTTGCCCACTAAGGCATCATTTTGCCCACTAAGGCATCATTTTTGCCCACATAAGGCATCATTTTGCCCACTAAGGCATCATTTTGCCCACTAAGGCATCATTTTGCCCACTGTGGCATCATTTTGCCCACTAAGGCATCATTTTGCCCACTAAGGCATCATTTTGCCCACTAAGGCATCATTTTGCCCACTAAGGCATCATTTTGCCCACTAAGGCATCATTTTGCCCACTGTGGCATCATTTTGCCCACTAAGGCATCATTTTGCCTACTAATGCATCATTTTGCCCACTAAGGCATCATTTTGCCCACTAATGCATCATTTTGCCCACTAAGGCATCATTTTGCCTACTAAGGCATCATTTTGCTCACTAAGGCATCATTTTGCCCACTAAGGCATCATTTTGCTCACTAAGGCATCATTTTGCTCACTAAGGCATCATTTTGCTCACTAAGGCATCATTTTGCCCACTAAGGCATCATTTTGCTCACTAAGGCATCATTTTGCTCACTAAGGCATCATTTTGCCCACTAAGGCATCATTTTGCTCAATTAGGCATCATTTTGCTCAATAAGGCATCATTTTACCCACTAAGGCATCATTTTGCTCAATTAGGCATCATTTTGCCCACTAAGGCATCATTTTGCTCAATTAGGCATCATTTTGCCCACTAAGGCATCATTTTGCTCACTAAGGCATCATTTTGCTCACTAAGGCATCATTTTGCCCACTAAGGCATCATTTTGCTCACTAAGGCATCATTTTGCTCACTAAGGCTCATTTGTGCACACTAAGGCATCATTTTGCTCACTAAGGCATCATTTTGCTCACTAAGGCATCATTTTGCCCACTAAGGCATCATTTTGCTCACTAAGGCATCATTTTGCTCACTAAGGCATCATTTTGCTCACTAAGGCATCATTTTGCTCAATTAGGCATCATTTTGCTCAATAAGGCATCATTTTACCCACTAAGGCATCATTTTGCTCAATTAGGCATCATTTTGCCCACTAAGGCATCATTTTGCCCACTAAGGCATCATTTTGCCCACTAAGACATCATTTTGCTCACTAAGGCATCATTTTGCCCACTAAGGCATCATTTTGCTCAATTAGGCATCATTTTGCTCAAGGCATTTTTCCCACTAAGGCATCATTTTGCCCACTAAGGCATCATTTTGCCCACTAAGGCATCATTTTGCTCAATTAGGCATCATTTTGCTCAATAAGGCATTTTGCTCAATTAGGCATCATTTTACCCACTAAGGCATCATTTTGCCCACTAAGGCATCATTTTGCCCACTAAGGCATCATTTTGCCCACTAAGGCATCATTTTGCCCACTAAGGCACCATTTTTGCCCACTAAGGCATCATTTTGCCCACTAAGGCATCATTTTGCCCACTAAGGCATCATTTTGCCCACTAAGGCATCATTTTGCCCACTAAGGCATCATTTTGCCCACTAAGGCATCATTTTGCTCACTAAGGCATCATTTTGCTCACTAAGGCATCATTTTGCCCACTAAGGCATCATTTTGCTCACTAAGGCATCATTTTGCCCACTAAGGCATCATTTTGCCCACTAAGGCATCATTTTGCCCACTAAGGCATCATTTTGTCCACTTAGACATCATTTTGCCCACTTAGACATCATTTTACCCACTAAGGCATCATTTTGCCCACTAAGGCATCATTTTGCCCACTAAGGCATCATTTTGCCCACTAAGGCATCATTTGCCCACTAAGGCATCATTTTGCCCACTAAGGCATCATTTTGCCCACTAAGGCATCATTTTGCCCACTAAGGCATCATTTTGCCCACTTAGACATCATTTTGCCCACTTAGACATCATTTTACCCACTAAGGCATCATTTTGCCCACTAAGGCATCATTTTGCCACTAAGGCATCATTTTGCCCACTAAGGCATCATTTTGCCCACTAAGGCATCATTTTGCCCACTAAGGCATCATTTTGCCCACTAAGGCATCATTTTGCCCACTAAGGCATCATTTTGCCCCACTAAGGCATTTTTGCCCACTAAGGCATCATTTTGCCCACTAAGGCATCATTTGCCCACTAAGGCATCATTTTGCCCACTGTGGCATCATTTTGGCCCACTAAGGCATCATTTTGCCCACTAAGGCATCATTTTGCCCACTAAGGCATCATTTTGCCCACTAAGGCATCATTTTGCCCACTAAGGCATCATTTTGCCCACTGTGGCATCATTTTGCCCACTAAGGCATCATTTTGCCCACTAAGGCATCATTTTGCCTACTAATGCATCATTTTGCCCACTAAGGTATCATTTTGCCCACTAATGCATCATTTTGCCCACTAAGGCATCATTTTGCCTACTAAGGCATCATTTTGCTCACTAAGGCATCATTTTGCCCACTAAGGCATCATTTTGCTCACTAAGGCATCATTTTGCTCACTAAGGCATCATTTTGCTCACTAAGGCATCATTTTGCTCACTAAGGCATCATTTTGCCCACTAAGGCATCATTTTTGCTCACTAAGGCATCATTTTGCTCACTAAGGCATCATTTTGCCCACTAAGGCATCATTTTGCTCAATTAGGCATCATTTTGCTCAATAAGGCATCATTTTGCCCACTAAGGCGTCATTTTGCTCAATTAGGCATCATTTTGCCCACTAAGGCATCATTTTGCCCACTAAGGCATCATTTTGCCTACTAAGGCATCATTTTGCTCACTAAGGCATCATTTTGCCCACTAAGGCATCATTTTGCTCACTAAGGCATCATTTTGCCCACTAAGGCATCATTTTGCTCAATTAGGCATCATTTTGCTCAAGGCATTTTTCCCACTAAGGCATCATTTTGCCCACTAAGGCATCATTTTGCCCACTAAGGCATCATTTTGCTCAATTAGGCATCATTTTGCTCAATAAGGCATTTTGCTCAATTAGGCATCATTTTGCCCACTAAGGCATCATTTTGCCCACTAAGGCATCATTTTGCCCACTAAGGCATCATTTTGCCCACTAAGGCATCATTTTGCCCACTAAGGCATCATTTTGCCCACTAAGGCATCATTTTGCTCACTAAGGCATCATTTTGCTCACTAAGGCATCATTTTGCCCACTAAGGCATCATTTTGCTCACTAAGGCATCATTTTGCCCACTAAGGCATCATTTTGCCACTAAGGCATCATTTTGCCCACTAAGGCATCATTTTGCCCACTTAGACATCATTTTGCCCACTTAGACATCATTTTACCCACTAAGGCATCATTTTGCCCACTAAGGCATCATTTTGCCCACTAAGGCATCATTTTGCCCACTAAGGCATCATTTTGCCCACTAAGGCATCATTTTGCCCACTAAGGCATCATTTTGCCCACTAAGGCATCATTTTGCCCACTGTGGCATCATTTTGCCCACTAAGGCATCATTTTTGCCCACTAAGGCATCATTTTGCTCACTAAGGCATCATTTTGCCCACTAAGGCATCATTTTGCCCACTAAGGCATCATTTTGCCCACTAAGGCATCATTTTGCCCACTTAGACATCATTTTGCCCACTTAGACATCATTTTACCCACTAAGGCATCATTTTGCCCACTAAGGCATCATTTTGCCCACTAAGGCATCATTTTGCCCACTAAGGCATCATTTTGCCCACTAAGGCATCATTTTGCCCACTAAGGCATCATTTTGCCCACTAAGGCATCATTTTGCCCACTAAGGCATCATTTTGCCCACTAAGGCATCATTTTGCCCACTGTGGCATCATTTTGCCCACTAAGGCATCATTTTGCCCACTAAGGCATCATTTTGCCCACTTAGACTCGTAAGTAATTTAAGAAAAAACTTTTCACTGTGTTGATGTTTTTTGTGTTAAAATTCTTTTTATTGTGTTAAAATATTTTTTATTGTGTTTGTTTTTTTATTGAACATTTCGAAGACTGGTTTAAATCATTTACTGACTTGCTTAATTTTTAAGCCAAAATTCGTAAATTATCGCACTTTTAATCCAAACTGCTGCTACAATAGCATTTTACCTTACTGTTAATTTATGATAAACGTCATAATAATGATACAAAATACCGAAAAAACTGATGAATAAGAGTCAGGGGCAACACTTATTAACTATTTATAAACGAGAAACTTTTCTCCTATACTGCAAGTTGTGAACATTAAAATGGTATAAAATACAGACAGGTTGTTAGGTAAGACACATATGCAACAGTTAGGTATCTTTATTTCGAAACGTTTCGCCTACACAGTAGGCTTCTTCAGTCGAGTACAGAAAAGTTGATAGAAGCAGAAGATACTTGTACTCGACTGAAGAAGCCTACTGTGTAGGCGAAACGTTTCGAAATAAAGATACCTAACTGTTGCATATGTGTCTTACCACTGCAAGTTGTATTCGACTGAAGTAGTCTGCAGTGTAGGCGAAGCGTTTCGGATATAAAGACAGTGCGTCTTGTACGTGAGTCTTGATCATCATGATAAGTATTTTAGGAAGTATGTTAAGTCGATAATCGCACACATGGTGTTATTTCCACAAAAGTTGATTATTTCTTAAAAAATCAACGTCCATTTAAAAGTCACTTTTATTGAGGGTTTGAGGCTAAGCCGCTGAGGCTTGTGGAAGTTATCAGAGTCATTCCAGGATGCTGGGAATTAGTTCAACAGTTTCAGCCATAGTGCATGTGTGCATGCCAATTGATCCGGAATCTAGCCCTAGTTACTGTGCATTTAATAATTTGAAGCCCATTGGATAAGGCTTCTCGAAATTCTGAGCAAAAGAAAAAATGACAAGTTGGAGGAAGAGAAAAAGAGGAAAAAATTCTGGTAACCGCTGAAAGGTCCTCCTCTGGGGATACTTAACATCAAATGAAAGAAATTCCCTGGTATACCACCTCTGCATCGTACCCAGTCTCCCAGCTCTGTCCCTCCCTCAAGTCCCTAGACCAACTTCTAACTCTCCGTCTGTCTTTCTCCATGCAGGTGGCAAGTCCCGGGAGGGCTGTCCTATCCTCACCTTCCCGGACCGGGGTAACTTCGCCCAGTTGGCCGACGAGGAGTACCGAAAGCTTATTATCTACCTCACCTCTGTGCCCTCGTAAGTATTTTAATGTGTGTACTCACCTAGTTGTACTCATCTATTTGTGGTTGCAGGGGTCTAGTCACAGCTTCTGGCCCCGCCTCTTCGGTGGTCGCTACTAAGTCCACTCTCTCCCTGTCCCAAGAGCGTCATTGTACCTCATATAAGTGTGCGTGCTTGTGTGAATTAAGAAGAAAAAGGCACAATACCGTGACTGACACAATACACAAATAACCCGTACGTAAATGGCTCTTATGATGACGTTTCGGTTCTATTTGGACCACTAACTTGTCCAAGTCAGACCGACACGTTGTCATAGGTTTCATTCTCCTGTGTGTGGTTTGAGTATGTGTAATACATGTGCATATGTATGCATGTGTTTATAATGCAGTTATAACTTACATTTACCTGTGTACATTATCACTAAACCCGTAGGAATATACCATTTATTTCCATCAATAAACCCGTTTATTTCTTGTATTATCAAAGCAAAATTTGTTTTTAATACCGAGTTCTACATCTAAAAGTTTGGTATGTCAGTGGGCAATCCCCTTACCCCAGTGCTCACCTAATTGTGGTTGCAGGGGTCGAGACTCGGCTCCTGGCCTTGCCTCTTCACCGAGTGATACTAGTTTTCCAGTGGGCAATGGTAAACAATATGATGTTCAATGAGGACAAATTCCAACTACTCCGTTATGGAAAACTGGAGGAGATAATAACTAGAACAGAGTATACTACTGACTCCGGCCATACAATAGAGCGGAAAAATAATGTAAGGGACCTGGGAGTAGTAATGTCTGAGGATCTCACTTTCAAGGATCACAACAGTGCCACGATCGCACGTGCAAAGAAAATGATAGGATGGATAATGAGAACTTTCAAAACGAGAGATGCCAAGCCCATGATGATCCTTTTCAAATCACTTGTTCTCTCTAGGCTGGAATACTGCTGTACATTAACATCTCCATTCAAAGCAGGTGAAATCGCAGATCTAGAGAGTGTACAGAGATCCTTTACTGCACGTATACGTTCTGTCAAGCACCTTAACTACTGGGAACGCTTGGAAGCACTTGACTTGTACTCGTTGGAACGCAGGAGGGAGAGATATATCATAATCTACACTTGGAAAATCTTGGAAGGAATGGTCCCCAAATCTGCACACAGAAATCACTCCCTACGAAAGTAAAAGACTGGGCAGGCGATGCAAAATGCCCCCAATAAAAAGTAGGGGCGCCATTGGTACACTAAGGGAAAACACCATAAGTGTCCGGGGCCCAAAACTGTTTAACAGCCTCCCATCAAGCATTAGGGGAATTGCCAATAAACCCCTGGCTGCCTTCAAGAGAGAGCTGGACAGATACCTAAAGTCAGTGCCGGATCAGCCGGGCTGTGGCTCGTACGTTGGACTGCGTGCAGCCAGCAGTAACAGCCTAGTTGATCAGGCCCTGATCCATCGGGAGGCCTGGTCATGGACCGGGCCGCGGGGGCGTTGATCCCCGGAATAACCTCCAGGTAACCTCCAGGTAGGTCCTCTCTCTCCCTGCTCCATGAGCTTTATCATACCTTATCTTAAAGCTATGTATGGTTCCTGCCTCCACTACCTCACTTGCTAGGCTATTCCACTTCCTGACTATGACTGAAGAAATACTTCCTAACATCCCTTTGACATGTCATCTGAGTCTTCAACCTCCAATTGTGACCCCTTGTTTCTGTGTCCCATCTCTGGAACATCCTGTCTCTGTTCGCCTTGTCTATTTCACGCAGTATTTTGTATGTCGTTATCATGTCTCCCCTAACCCTCCTGTCCTCCAGTGTCGTCAGGCCGATTTCCCTTAACCTTTCTTCATAGGACATTCCCCTTAACTCTGGAACTAACCTTGTCGCAAACCTTTGCACTTTCTCTAATTTCATGACGTCACTCATGCACAAATCGTTTTAAACGAGCCTACAAATTATTTAGCATAATTTTTACACTTAATGCATAAATTTAACGTACATAAGGATGATCCCCTGTGCTTATCATTCGAGAAAAATAATTGCTAAATAAATTTCTTTGAATCAAAGTGTTGCTTACACTCCAAGATGAGCTGTTGAGGCTAAGAAAATAACTCGATGGGACTGAATGTCTTGTTCCCGATAATAGTGAAGAAAATGCACATTGTTTAGTTACCCCTTTTTACTGGGACAATTTTACGAACCGTTAAGATCTTTATCATGTCGTAAAGATCCTAGCAAATAAAAAAATGTTCTCCTAACGAAGCTTGTCAGCAATTTATGTCTTTTCTTAAAAAAAAAAAAAAACTCAATGTCATAAATTTTGAAATTGCTCATGATTGAAATTTAAAAATAATTAGAAAAAATCAGTTAATTTTTGTTACTTTGTGTTACACCATCAGAGTTCAGTATTTATTAGTGATATGATTACTTTAAAATCCTGCAGGTATTACCGTGGATGTTGTCACTGATGAAGACTATGTGGATTACTTAGTCCATTAATAATATATATGGATAAGTATGTTAATAAGGCGTAATATGCAGAAGGTTCATCAAAGAGGCTTCAAAGAGGCTTTATCAAGGATATTTCACCAAGGAGGCTTCAAGGCTTCACCAATTAGGCTTCATCACGGACGCTTCATCAGCCTTCACTAATTAGATGAGAAGTGATAAAGTTTCTGGTGAGCGGAATATATCAATCAAATACCATCCACCACACAGTGTTTCTTAACATTATGGGTCTATAACCCTGGATATCCTACGAAAGCCAGTGTGGCTTATTTCCCACAGGACACCTGAGGTCCTTTCACCAGGATGCCACCAGCAACAGTCACATGAAACGCAGGCGAAAAAGAGGGCAACCCATGTTAGGAGACTTTATTTAACATCTTTATTATGCACCCCATACCCATCCTGTGGGTAGCAAAATATTACAGAGGTACATAATGGGTTAGAGTATTACAGAGGTACATAATGGGTCAAAGTATTACAGAGGTACATAATGGGTCAGAGTATTACAGAGGTACATAATGGGTCAGAGTATTACAGAGGTACATAATGGGTCAAAGTATTACATAGGTACATAATGGGTCAAAGTATTACATAGGTACATAATGGGTCAAAGTATTACAGAGGTACATAATGGGTCAAAGTATTACAGAGGTACATAATGGGTCAAAGTATTACAGAGGTACATAATGGGTCAAAGTATTACAGAGGTACATAATGGGTCAAAGTATTACAGAGGTACATAATGGGTCAAAGTATTACATAGGTACATAATGGGTCAAAGTATTACATAGGTACATAATGGGTCAAAGTATTACAGAGGTACATAATGGATCAAAGTATTACAGAGGTACATAATGGATCAAAGTATTACAGAGGTACATAATGGATCAAAGTATTACAGAGGTACATAATGGGTCAAAGTATTACAGAGGTACATAATGGGTCAGAGTATTACAAAGGTACATAATGGCCGCAAAGTGTTGATAGCTGAACAAGTTAGTAATCATGAACATTGGTCATATTTTCATCAGGTCACAATCGTAGGAGACTCGCCCATACATCCCGCATCGCCCAAGAGTGAACCCTGTCCCTTTGTGAGCTCATTACGCTCCGTTGTAAATAAAATTTGACGCCTGTGCGTTGGTCTGAGCATTCTAATTAATTTTTACGACCCTGGTGTGTACGTCTGGCTGGTGGTGAACGCAGAGCAATGAATTAAAATGGATAGGGGGAGGGGGGGAGGGAAAATAAAGGGAGTATGTTAGCGTGTCGACAACGGAAATGACTCTTTCGTGTCGCCCAATCAACGTTTATTTGAAGACTGTCTGGAATGATACAAATACTGGTATTTGTTTTCCATCATATATATAAAAAATGAATCGTCTTTAATTTTACGACAACAAATTTTTGGGGGGTATTGCATTTTTCATCATTATTATTATTCACAAAGGAGAGAGGACTTTGTAAATGGTCCAAGTGAGACCGAAACGTCGTCATTTTTTTTTACACAGGGTTTGACAAGGTTAAGGATCCCTAGCTTTATTGACAAGCTATTTACAGGTTAAGGATTCCTAACTTTATTGGCAAGCTAAGAGCTGTTACCTACATCAGCTCATTTGAAAGTATTTTTATTGTTATGAGACATACAAGTAGGGAACAGGATGAAGTTGGAGCCATCTGTGGGCCAGCATTTTCATTTGATTAACTGACTTTATCTCGTTGACATCATTATGCTGTACGAATGTGTTCCATGTGCGGGTTATTTGTGTATTCCAAACACCACATTATCGTTGTTTATATTCAGATATATCTTTATTTTTAATTCTGCTTTACTTTCCATTCTGCCATGATTCATAGCCTTTACGATCAATGTGTTTCACCTGGTGGAAGGTAAAGGGGGAAGACCCAGAGAGAGAGAGAGAGAGAGAGAGAGAGAGAGAGAGGAGAGAGAGAGAGAGAGAGAGAGAAAGAGAGGAAAGAAGGAAATGGGAGGTGGAAATAAAGAAGGAAATGAGTTAGAGGGAATGTGAAATGCAAAACGTGGAAGGTGGAGTAAGAACGAGGAAGAAATGGGAGAGGATAAATAGAGGGATAAGAAAGTTCAGAGGATGAATTGAATGGAGGAAGTGTAAGAAAGTAATGAGAAAGGAGAGTCAAGATTGAGGAAATTAGGAACAAGGAAGATGAAACGAAGAAGCAGAAAAGAGAGAGAGCGTAAGAAAGCAAGGTGAAATAAAGAGAGTAGAGATTGAGGAAGTATAATGTTTTCAGAGGTCAGCTGGACGGAACCTTCCATCCAATATTATTAAAAGAGAATCCTTCCCCAGGTTGTGTTTTTGTACCCAGTGACGTCAGTGAGAGAGAGAGAGAGAGAGAGAGAGAGAGAGAGAGAGAGAGAGAGAGAGAGAGAGAGAGAGAGAGAGAGAGAGAGAGAGAGAGAGAGAGAGAGAGAGAGACAGAGACAGATAGACAGATAGACAGAGACAGAAACACACACACACACACACACACAC